AGGGAGGGGGAGAAGAGACAAGAGGGGAAGGAAGAAGAGAGAACAGAAAGGCCAATCAGAAGAGAAGATGGCTGAGTAAGCCAAGACTTTGACTAAAAGACTTTGAGTCATTGAACGCATTCCGTTGAAGGGTCCCTAAGAAGCCACAGGGAAACACAAGAGGTCTTCTTCCCTGACGGAGGCTGGATCAAAGGGAGGGAATAAATCATAGGAAACTGAGTTCAAGGACAGATCTGAAACTTACCAGCTAAGACAATGACAATTAGAACAGACAGAAGAAAGAAAGAACTAGAGACCAGGCCGGGTGAAGATTGTCCAGTGAGAGGAAAAAGAAAACAGAAGAAAGAAGCAAACTCACCACAGCCTCAGAGACCACAAGGCACTACCAAACACCAGTGCCGGGGAGCAGAGGCAACCAAGATGGGCCATGCGTGCTGGCCTGCTCCCGTAGTCCAAGAACCCAGAAAGCTGAGGCTGGAGCATGCTGAGAATGCCAGTCTAGCCAGGGCCTTAGAGCAAGACTGAAGATAGTAACATTTTCAAAAGAGGTAATAAGCAAAGACTTACCAAGTCTGATATATTCTGATTTCCACATTTAAGGAACTCAAAAGAGCTCTACGAAGAATAAACTAACTACAAGTTCACAGTCAACAGCATCACACACACTCCACTGAAAGACCAAGAAAAGCAGCAAAAGATGTGGCTCATGCCGCACCCGGGAGAGTGGTACCATTAGCAACTCGGTCTCCTTTAGAACCCAGAGACAGAGCACTGGACACGCTGGAGAGACTGAGATTATCAACACAGGATTCCCCAGCAGGGAAACTTTTCTTCAGAAATGTAAAAGGTGAGACATTTCCAAACAAACAGAAAATTAGAAATGCTTGCCCTCCAAGAAGGATCAAAGACCCTTCTGAGATGAAAGGACACGGAATAAAGGAAATAAAGAGCATCATTAAAAAGAATTGTGTAGTTGAGCTGTTGCGGGAGGGAGAGCCATTTTTCTTTGGGGGTATAGCCATTTAGAAGGCTGCTCATGCTTGGTGAATGCCCCTACACTGATTTTCAAATAAGCAGTGCCAATTATATCCAGTTGGTTTATAAGGGGCAGGGAGAGTGGGGAGAAGAAAAGGAAAAGGAGGAAGAAGAGAAGAGGAAGAAGAGAAGGAAGTCACAAAGGGCTCAAAGGAAAGCAGACTGGATGGAGATATACTGGAGTAGAAACTTGATAATACTAAATATTAATTATATATAATTATAGATCAGTCAGCAAAAGAGAAGTAAAACCTACTGTATTGATAATTAAATTAAATGTAAGTGGTTTTAAGAAAGCAAATCAAAACACAAAGGCTAGCAGAATAGATCCCTAAAAGCATCAATCTCCCAACCACATGAGAGCTGCAAAAATCCATTGTATTTATCAAAACATAAATAAGCTGGAAGGTTACATCATAGAATAACCACCGTGAGAAATTGACAGTGGCCATTCAAGTGGCAGACAAAAATAAACTATAAGGGGAAATGTCATTAAAATAAAAGAGAGCTATTTAATAGTGAAGAGGGCCAATGCATCCATAAACATACATGAACGTAATAGCAGAGCCCCTCTGTGCTTGAAGCAACAACAAGAACAAAAAAACTTGCAAAATTAAAGAGAGAAACAGGTAATTCCACAACGGCAACTCAAATCATCAATACCCACTTACAGTGACGGCTGGGAGCAGATCAACACACTGGGACATCACAAGTGAGCACAGCAAACACCACAGGAGTACTGCTCCCCATACACTCGTCTACCGCCCACAGGGAACACCACAGAATGAGCTGCAGTAACTGTGAGTGGACTAAAAATCGTAAGATAACGTCTCCCGTCAGAGTGGAATGGTGTGAAAATGCACGACCAAAGAAAACCTGGCCAACACACAGAAAGGAAACAAAACATCTCCAAGTAACTGGGGGGTGGAGAGGTCACAGGACACCTCGGGGAGCAGCTGAAGCAGAGCTTGGGGAGTCATTTATAGCTTTCCACTTTTCGTCTATATTGAATTAGATTGTTTCAAACGGATAAACCTCAAGAACCAGAAAAGGCTCCGTGAATTACCCCACTTAACTCTTGACACCGTGACCCTCCCATGTGAAGAAATTGCTGTTCCTTGTGGGTTTGTGGCGTAAAGCTCATTAGTGCGCGAGGTACCAAACCAGGGCAAAGATGGATCATGAGCAATCACGGTAAGAGGAGTCCCACGATTGTGGCTGGCAGACATGCGTGGCATTGGTGTTTGCCGACTGAGAGCTCCGTAGTAATTGGGCGGGGCAGAGGACAAGTCCAGCTGCTGCTGCGTCAGGATGATTTCAGCTCTATGAAGCATCTCCTTCTCTTTTTAAAAAGATTAATTAACTTATTTATACACATTGTGAGGGTTTGCCTGCATGTGTCTCTGTACACCCCAGGCCTGCAGTTGCCTGGAGGCCGGAAGTGGGTGTTGGAGTCCCAGAACCCGGTGTGGATGCTGGGAACAGCTCAGGTCCTCTGCAGGAGCAGCAAGTGCTCTTTAGCGGCTGAGCCATCTCTCCAGCCCAGGCATCTCCTTGTCAAGTAAAAGGAAGCATCTTCCCTGAATGTTTAAATAAGAAGGAAAGCTGAATGTTTCATGTTGGACATTGTCACGAGATGACCTCTGCTTTTGAGGGTACTAAGACGTCAAGCACGTGACTCAGAACATCAATTGCACAAAAGAATGACAGCAGATTCACTGTCCCAACCACGCAGCGGGACACCTGGAGGACAGTCTGGTTCTCAGCTCCTGACCATCCCCCATGCAGCATAGCTCACTGCTTCAGGAATTGTGCCTGATTTCTGCAACATGAACAACAAGGACCGTTCCGTGACAACATGAGCACTTGCATTTTATAGTGACAGCATTGTGTGGTTAAAGTTGACAATATGACAGCAATCTAAGCCACTGCTGGTTAGTGGTCATTGTAAAAATGCATGTGGCTGCCAAGTATGTGTGTTCTTCTTTGAATGCATGTCTGTGTCGCCTCTAAACTTCTCCTTTTAAAGGAAAAGAATTCATCAGCAGATCTGAGTTAGGAGTCCTATTGCCGGCCACTGCCTACTTCCACCGACAGTGCAGTGTTTACCTGGGACTTGGCAACTCATAAATCACGGCAGTGTCCATGCTTGGTTTCTTTGCTGCTTTTGTTTGTTTGTTTGTTGTTTTCACAGCCAGAAGCACTAAATGAATCAATCATGGTTCAGGATCTGCAAGTCTCAGGTAGGTGCGGCTGCCTCTGCGGGTGGGCAAAGCACTTCTGCCTTTCCAGCCAAATGGCACCCCGGAGTCTGTTATTATTTCAAAAACACGTCTACCCAGAGGGGCGCCCCGGGGAGGCAGCACACTCGTGGTGCTGCGGCTGTGTTCTGAGGCAAAGCAGTGCTCCTGAGAATAAACTAACTCTGATGGCTGCCTTCACACATCATGGGGAACCTGGGCTCCCCAGCAAGGGGTCCCTGGAGAATCTCTGGTTGGCAGGCCATCTGAACCTCCTCTACGGTGTATCTTCATGTCTCCAGCAGTCCCTTTCCACATTCTTAGCGCATGTTTCAGCCTTCCTACATTTCAGCATTCTCCCAGAACAGCTCCCAGAGGTGCTTGTAACAGGCTTCATTCATTTTTGCAACTCAGAGCCCTGAGTAACCATATGGGGCTGGACATGAAAGGGGTTGACACTGGAGAGGGGGGCTGGGAGTGGTCTCAGTGTCCTTGTCTTTGACACTAGATGATGATAAGGGGCCACCTTTCAGTTTCCAGACACTGAGTTCTGTTCCCCTCAAACCAATCTCTGCAGCATGAACACAGAGGAAGTCCTGTGTCTGTCAGGGCTTTATCCAGGAGTCTGCCTGGTGGACCATGGGCATCAGAACAGGAGAGTGGTTTCCTGTGCACATGTGGATGGGTGGAGGGAGTCCCAACACAGTCCGGTTCTGTTTTCTGTTTCCTGCTCCAGGTTCTTCTAGGGACCGTGTCTTCCCCCCAGACACATGTGGCAGTGTCTGCAATCCTCTGAGTTTGTGGAGGCGGAGAGAGCCAAGGAGGCTATAGCATGTGTTCCACACAGAAAGTGCCCCAGCATAGAGGGCAAAGCCTGGGATGCTCTGCTGTGCCAGCCGACCTGAACCTCAGTGTAGACTCTAGTTCAGCCACCCATCCTGAGGCTGAACCTGGAGGTGTCCTGGTGAGTCAGAAAAGCCCACTCAGATGGACTCCTGGGCAAATCCTGTCTCTGTCTGCACCCCTAAAGCTCTGAACCAGGGAAGAGTTTCTGGGAAGTTCAACACAAACAAACCTCAGCCTTGCTTCACAGTCCTTAGGAGACCAAATGGGCTTGTTGCTCTTTTTCTCTACCTGTCCCGTCCCCCCCTAACCTCTCCCCCCACCCCCGTTCTGATTTATTCCTCCTCTCAACGCATTCGCAAGACAAGCCAGAAGCCATCAATGCCCTAGGGCCATGGGGACCTTTATCATTCAGGGCTATGACTACAACCTTGGGGGACCACCTGCATGCTACACCTAGAACCCAGGCAGCCCAGGGTATGGGATTTGACACCTAATACCTCACATGGAGGGCCTGCTGCTAAGGGAAAAGGTACAGTAAGGCTAGATGGATAATGAAGACCTTGCCTTTTTTGGAGTTGGCAGGATTTTATTATCTTTGTCTGCTCCCTCCCACTGAGGGAGAGGAAATAGTCCATGCTGGACTAATGCTCCACCCCTGAGACATACCACAGGTTTGTATTTAGTTTTTGTTTCTCTTTTGAAACTTTAACATTTTTTATTTTACTGTTTGTATGAGAGGTGTGGTAGTGCACATACGCAGCAGAGCCCACACGGTCAGAAGACGGCTTTTGGGAACAGATTCTGTCCTGGGTTCCAGGGATGGAACTCGGGTCATCAGGCTTGCACAGTGTGGTGGTTTGAAGGTAACTGGCCCCCTGTAAGTTCGTAGGGAGTGATACAATTAGAGGTGTGGCCTTGTTGAAGGAAGTATGTCCCTGTGGAGGCGGGCTTTGAGGCCTAATTGGCTCAAGCTATGCTCAGTATGGTAGACAGTTCACTTCCTGTTGCCTGTGGATCAAGATGTAGGACTCTCAGCTTCTTCTCCAGCACCATATCTACCTGCATGCCACCATGTCCTATGATGATAATGGACTGAACCTCTGAACTGTAAGTGAGCCATAACAATTAAACGTTTTTCCTTTATAAGAGTTATAAGAGTTGCTTCACAGCAACAGAAACCCTAAGACACACAGCAAATACTTGACTCACTAAACCATCCCAAAAGACCCTGTTTCTTTGTGCTTTGTTTTACCCTGCTTTGGTAGACAGGGGTGGGTGGGTGGGTGGTGGTGGTGTTCTATTTATTTATTTTTTTGAGACAGGGTCTCACTATGTCTGGATGGTCTAGAACTCATGTACACCAGGACAGCCTTGAATCTGAGGCAATCCTCCGGCCTCAGCTTCCTGAGTGCTAGAACTACCAGCAGGGGCCACCTGCCCAGCTTCTGTGTTTGCTTCTTTGGGTCATGGGGCTTCTTGGAGAACAGCACTGTGCATGTACCCCCATCCCAGTATCCAGGGCGTCCTTAGCTTAAAGGTGACTCAGCTCACACTGCTCAGGTCTACGATGGTCCTAAAAGAGACTGAATATGGTAAGAACTGTACTTCTTATTTTTAACTGGGACCTCTCTCTGAATGGCAATAAGCAGGCTGCCCCTGTCAAGCTGGGGACGGCAGCAAACTGCAGCATCCTATCAGCCCTGTGATCGGGAGGAGAAATGGCTGACACCACAGTTTTCAGCCTGGCTCAGCGAGCATGCTCTGTAGGTCAGTTTCAGTTGATGGAGTTTTCAACTCAGTGGGTTTATCAGGAACTAATGCCTTTCTGTACTTGTAATGTAATTTCTGCAGTCAGCCTGTCCTGTTCAGAGGTGGGAGGAACACACTGGCTGGTTCAAGAGAGCTTCAGGATGTCAGAAATGCAATTTAAGGAATACTTGACCTGCAGGATGAAGGATGTGACTTCTCAGCAGCCTTCCCTGTGAGAGTTGTGTAGCTATTTATACCAGATTAAAATATTCCCTCCTGGAGTGAGGCAATTTAGGAATCAGGAAGTAAAATGTACAAGTCTCAGGAAGTCCCTGAAATTACAAGATTGGTAAAGCTATTTCCCAAGCAAGGAGTAATGACTGCTGGGGCTGAGGAGTGCCCCCAGCCTTACCACAAGCCGCACAGTGAGCTCCAGGGAGGTGGTTTTCATGGACATCACCCATGCTAGGGTGGGCTTTTCAGTGCTGCATTGCCTTTGAGTCACCCATGCTCCTCTAAGTGGCCCCAAGAAGCCCACTGTTCCCCTAGCTAGACTTGGGTGTAATACGTTTATTGCTTTGCCCCAGGTGCCCTGTCTAGGGTAAACAGACATTTGTTCAGCTCCCTAGGAATCAGCCACGCAATAGTTGCTGAGCTCAGCAGTAATAAAACCGAATGCACTGTGGTGCACGGCTTTAATCCCAGCACTCAAGGGGCACAGGCCGATGGATCTCTGGGAGCTGGAGACCAACCTGATCTCCATAGCTAGTTTCAGGTCAACCGGGGATACACAGAGAGACCCTGTCTCAAAAGGGCCTGGGTCAGGAGGAGAGCCCAGAAGCTCACAAGCCTTCAACAGCTGCTTCAACAGCTACCCACCCCGCCACAGCCAAGTTCACAGCTGCATTTCCAAAGAGACTCATTATTTATGCAAACAAGCGCTCCTCCCTAAGCACAAGCTCCGAGACAGCAACGTAACCTTAACAGTCCTGTTTAAAATATTTACCAAAACAGATGCCAAGTCTAGCACCATGTAAAGTGGATGGGCAAAGAGGCCTGAGACACTTTCATCCTGGAGAGTAAAACCATGCAGACATGAGGGTGTAATGAGAGCAGGCAGGGCATGCTGGGAATGCTGGCACTCTCCATGGCAGGACATCCCTGCAGAGGAAGGCTGTCTCCCCAGTTCTACCCCAGCTTGCACCTTCCCATCAGCCATTGGTTTTGCCTATCAATAACTCCAAGCATGGGGGGCAGGCCATGGCACCTCAGGGAACCTAGCTCTGTCTTCACAAAGCAGGTTAGTTAGCACCTTGTCATTTCTCCCTGGAGACCCTCCCCTTGATTTTTCACTACTCTGAGTTTAATTGCCCCCTTCTCCATGACGGCCTGTCCAGGCCCAGGCCCCTGTGTCCTAGATGTTTGCAGTCTCCAACACTTTGTTCACCCCCATGTACAAGGGGGGGGTTGGCTCAAACTGCTTCGAGTCACTGTTTTCTTGTGGGATTTGTGTGCCTGTGTAACACTGAGGCATTAAAGTGTTCCCTCTGTGTGGCCTGAAGTTAGCGGAACTGTGTGCGAGGCCCAGCCAGACACTCTAGGAAGGAGAAAGGGAAGGTGTGTCACACAAGGTACTGCCGTAGGACAAGTCTACTGATACAGGTACGTCCCAGAAGAAACAAGCACTTCTGGGGACTTGTGTGGAACAGGGCCCTTGACTGGATGCTTCCAGTAAGAGCCACCCAGACTGGAGTTTGCAGGGCAGGTTAAACCATATGGCTGGTTCCACCATCACAGGCGGGGGGTGGGGGGGTTGTGATAATTGGTAGTGAACAAGGTACACAGAAACCTCACGGTTTCGGAGACTGTGTGATGAACTCAAGTCATTTTGTGTGATCTGTGACATGAGGACCCGAGTTTGCTCTCCAGCAGCCAGAGAAAGCACCAGAGACAGACAGACCGCTGTGGCTCACTGGCCCGACAGCCTAGCTTTCCTGTTAAGTTCCGGGTCAATGAGAGACCCCATCTCAAAAACACAAGGTAGAAGACACCTGAGGAAAGACAGCTGAAACTGACCTCTGGCTTCCTCATGCACACGGGCGGGCGCACACACACTAAATTAAATATATAACAATAAAACTGACTGGCACCCCATCTCAAGGGCAGGGTCACAGGGTCTTTAGCCAGGCTGAGGGCTGATGCCAACAAGGTGGCAGGAATGTAACAAGCTCCATTGTAGACAGTGACAGAACTCTCAGACTCATGATGACGCACACCCCAAGACCCACCAACTCCAATCCTCAGAACCTTTTATCACATAAAATAATATTGGTCCACCCCCGAGACTGCACATCTGTGAGCCTATGAGTTCTGTGTGTGATAAAGGACTGGGTCTTCAGTGTTCAAGTGTATGTGCGAATCGGGCTAAGACAGAGCTCCACCACCCCAAAAAAGAAAGGAGATGTCTCAGCAGGCCAAGGGCTGGTTTCACACTAGAAGCCCAGTACCTCAACCCTATGCTCCTGGGTCAAGCGAGCTAGCCTCAGGCATGTTGCATGTTTTCTGGAATGGCCTCTTCTCTGGTAAAAGCAACTGAATTTTATTTTAATTTACTTGAGCTCAGAATCACCAGATGCACTCATTCTTCAGCCTCTGTCATCAGGAAGGCCCCTGTGGCTCAGATGAGGTTAACTGTATTGTCTACCCAGTAAAGACACTTAGCACTGGCACAGGGTCACACAGTGCTTGTGATCAGTGACCAGTCCCGGGTTCCAGTGGACGCTGGCGGCAGCAATCAGGTATGTAAGAACCGAGGGAGCGGGAACCTGCAGAAGCAGCCAGCACATGGGAGGCCCTGAGTACAGCTCTGGCAGGTGGAAGCTCGTATCTCCCTGCATGCCTCTTGTTCGCTGCCTTAGGCTCTCTCTCTCTCTCTCTCTCTCTGGTGTCTCTTTTCTAAGAATACTAATCTTCATGAAACTTCATGGGCTGAGCCTCATGACTTTATTGATTTCTCCCCCGCCTCTGAGACAGCGATTCTTGGTGTAGCCCTGGCTATCTTGGAACTAGCTCTGTAGACCAGGCTGGCCTTGACTTCACCAAGATCTGCCTGCCTCTGCCTCCTGAGAGTTGGGATTAAAGGCATTCGTCATCACCACCTGGCCTGACTTAGTCAACTTCTGAAGATTCACCTCTTGATGCTAGCACATGATGGGACAGAATGTCAATGTAAGAATTTGGGGAGACACAAACAGCCAATCCCTATCATGGGGCAGCTGGAAAATTAGAAAAAGAAGGCCATAAACTGACAAGTGCCATGGGAATGGCCTCTCTGTTGCTGTGACAAAATACTTGTGATAATCAATCTAAAACAAAGAAGGGTTTATTTGCTCTCAGGGTTTCTAGGTTTTAGTTCATGGTCACCTGATCCTCTGGCTTTGAGCCTGTGGCAATACAGCACATCATGGGGGAGCTTATGCCTTGGTGGCCAGAAGCAAGGGAAGCCACCCAGATGAACTGAAGCTCCATGTCCATCCCAGCAACCTAACTTCTTCCCGCCGGGCCCCAGCTTCTCAAGGGCCACCCCTCCTGTCGGTGCTCCAGACTAGTGACTAAGCCCCTTTGTAGAGCACAGCTGACCGATTCTCAGCTACCCACCAGGTGACTCCATATCCTTGTGTGATGGAAACGACAGAATGAATGATAGGCTGTGCTCCCAACCAACCTGTTCCAGTATCTGCTACCGTCATTATGACACATAGCTCTCTGTGACAAAATATGACACCAAACAAAGACGGACAAGAAGAGAGAGTGCTTTCTACAAAAACTAAGTGCCAGGGTCCAGCCTCGGCTTGGGTTCAGGTCCTGAGATGGGGAAGGAGCATCTGAGTAAGGAAAACTTCCGACCACCAGGTGGATTACACTCAGGTGGCCCCGAATAGCTGGAACTGTCTTTATTTATACGCTAACAGAGTTTTTCTACCAGGCTTACATGAACAGCTTTCTTACTGGCTCCTGTTTTTACTTTTAAGAAATACATCGTAATCATTCTAAAAGCTCCCATTGTTCCCCTTTATGCGTCCCCAAATACTTACCCACCCCCTACATAACCTTCCTCTAGTCACAGAGGTCAGCATTTTTGCAGACTTAACTAAATATCAAGTCAGACACATCGGGCTCCACAGCACTTACGTCAGCCGGCAGCTACTGTGGTTACAAAGTTGCAAAGTAATAGAGATGGGAACAATGCTTTAAGGATACCAATATTCAAACCCTGACAAGTCTTCCATGTCTGCAAGATATGCTTTTATCCAGTTCATTTTTCTACAATCCCATGTCTCAGTCTCTCTGTAAAGGCAGACTTTGATAAGGCACTCTCTTCTCAGCCCACTATACCATGCTTCTTCCACCAATATAAGCTCCTGTATATGGTAGAGATGGATCTCTCCATCCCATACTTTACACTGCATTTTTCCCATTGGATCATCACAATCATTGACTCTACATGCTCGGTGTCCAGGGAACTTCCTCTCAACAGTTGGCACTATGTGTACTCCTGAGGTTTTCCCCTATTCTGTGTATGCATACCTTACTCTCCTTTCCAGAACTGTGAGACACAGTTAATGTTCCAAGTGCTGTTTTCTCATATGTACCTAACTGTCTCTATTGAGTCAGAAAAGTTCCCAGACTTAGACATTGTAGTTCGTAATTCCAGATAAGAGATTTGAGAAGCATTAGCCCCTAGCTGAATCTTAGGGGAAAATATTCAAGAAAGAACAGAATTTCCAGGGAAAATTAGAACTCTTACGTGTGTGACTGACAAAGTAAAACTAAAAACCACCCAAAGAATCAACAATATAATGAGAGAGAAAAGAGCCTGCAAGCTGCATGAATTTTGCAGATTCCTACACTGTGCCGTGGACCACTGGTCCTTGCCGGGTGAGAGTCCGTTTCCACAGGTGCCTTGCCACGAGGAAACCCGTTGGACAGGTAGTCATGCTGATCTGAGACGAGGCTGCATGGCTCCCAACAACTAAGCTTGAGGGTTTAGGTAAACAGTAAAAGTGGGCTGCTCTCAAAGGGACAATTTGGTGTGCGTGTGACACTTCAGTAGAGAAAGGAAAAAAAAAATCTATGCAGGATTTTTTCTAGTGCTTAGAATGTTTACAGCAGTCAAAGAACTCAGCCCTACAAGTCACTGGCTATCCCCCTTAGGGTATACCCCAAGGCTCACACAGGCCTTGCCATGTCACACACAAGGGCTCCTCCAATGCCAGCAGGGACCACCAAGCAGCTCCTTTGCTGACTGTTCCTACTGGTATATAGGCTTCTGCTTGCAGCTGTCGGAAGCTGAAAGCTGGGGAGCCGGCTTGGCGGTATGTTTGGGCCTCTGCGTGTTATAACCAAATGACTGTGTATTACAGGAGGTAATGCCGGGAAAGCATCTGCTTGAGCAGCAGGCAAAACCACACCTGTCAATCCTGCAAGCGCTTCAGGCGTCCAACTTCGCTTCTCAGAAGGTGTGTGCTGACGGCTTCTCGTGTTTGCCTTCGAAATCCTCTCTTAGAATTGCTCCGGGCCAGGCTTGGTTTTCACAGTGAAAGAGATGACATGGCTGTGAAACCTCTTCCCCGGAAACCATACCAGCAGCCTCTTGAACCTCAGGAAGCTCAACTCCAGGCTGAATTCCGTTATCACCACAGCCTGGGGCATGGTGGGAAGCTGCTGGACTAAATCAGAGAATGGGATTCCAGTGAAGAGCCACCTGAGTGCTGCGCCACTCCTGCTGGGCAGAAACCTGTAAGAATTTAGGAATGCCATTCCTCCAATGAGCCCCCAGGAGCACCTGAACCACACTGCAGGGAGCCAGAAGAAGACGTGTGCTGTGGGATGGTCTGTATATCAAATCTGTTGCTCTGATTGGTCAATAAATAAAACACTGATTGGCCAGTGGCCAGGCAGGAGGAAGTATAGGCGGGACAAGGAGGAGAAGAATTCTGGGAAGTGGAAGGCTGAGTCAGAGAAATTGCCAGCCGCCACCATGACAAGCCACATGTGAAGACACCGCTAAGCCACAAGCCACGTGGCAAGGTATAGATTTATGGAAATGGATTAACTTAAGCTATAAGAACAGTTAGCAAGAAGCCTGCCACGGCCATACAGTTTGAGGCAATATAAGTCTCTGTGTTTACTTGGTTGGGTCTGAGCGGCTGTGGGACTGGCGGGTGACAGAGATTTGTCCTGACTGTGGGCAAGGCAGGAAAACTCTAGCTACAGACGTGTGGTCACGCGTGGTCAGGGGAGTCTGGGGGAAGGGGTGGTCCTGGTTCAACCCACTGTAGAAAGGTGGCTCTTCCCAGATCCTCCTTCCAGACTCCTCCAGCAAGGTCCCCCTGAGGAAGAGGGACATTAGTTACGCGTTGCAGTAGTCTTTGTTTCCTGATGCTTGTCATCTGCTGCCTTGCTGACCCTAGAGAGAGAGCCTGTCCCAAGGGTGGCCTAGCGACAGCAAACAATGACTTGCAAGCATGTCTTAACTGAGAGAGTTGACCCTCTCCTTCATTCCAGGCCACTGTCCCCAGCCCTAGCCACTTCAGGGCCAGGGAGTGGATGGCTGGCACAACTCAGGACATGGAGCCATTGGAATCATTCAAATGAGCCAACCCCAATATGCCGTTTATTTACGGGCCTTGCTCACTATTTCCCTCAGAGCTACAATCACGGTGCTCATGCAGGCCCTCCTCCCTCTCTGCCTCCTCACTCCTGGGGCTTCCTGTATCTTGAGTCTGTGAGCATGAAGACCTCTTTTATGACAATAATGTCCATATCTGCATACGTCACCACCCCTGATTAGAACATTCTGGTCCGAGGTGGTGCTCCACACCACTCCTAGGACTTGGTAAACTGAGGTAAGTGGTGTCAAGGGATTCAAGGCCAGTCAGGGCCACGTAAACAACATCATGTCTCAAAATAAAATTGAACGAGGGCCAGCTCCAGTGCGAGAGCATCCATTTAAGACACACAAAGTTGTAGCAGGAACCTTGGAGAATCTTATTAATAAAATCAAACCTGAGGCCAGGTATTGGGGTGAACACGGGAAGATCAGAGAAGCAGAACAAGCCACAGCTTCCTCACCTCGCCAATTTCTCAGCTGATCCTGTTTCCTCAGACTGGATGCCTCTGAGTCCTCATCCAGAATGAATCTCAGCTGAACTGTGTCTCAAAAGCCTGAAAGCTTAACCAGCCAAATGCTTCTAGTTTCTGGTCCTCACACCTTATATATCTTTCTGCTTTCTGCCATCACTCCCTGGGATTAAAGGCTCACTTTCTGGGAT